GCCGAGTGATAAATGAGATCATGGCAGTAAGGAGACCCAGGACATTGTAAAGGGTAATTTCTGTGGGGTTCCTAAGGTTGAGTTGGCTGTTCCTAAAACTGGGATTCTCTTGGTTTTCCTCTGATAATTTATTTGTTGCTGTTTTTTTTTAAATTTTCATTAGTTTCAGAATACCTACAGGTTGTAAGGAGCTTGGCTCTAATTTCCTAATCAATTAATTCAGTACCTATCACATTCTGATATATCTACTACTGATGCAAGGCACTGAATAAAATAACACACAATATCTCTGTAAGTACCTGTCAAGACCCAAAACTGAGTAGTGATGTGATAACGCATAGTTTCCGCTCTCTCTAGGAGTATGTTGATGATTGGCCCACTGCTCTCTGAAGGATGCTTCCGCCTTCCAATACCAATCATCTCTTTGGAAATGCTGATGATATGCACCAGAACCATTTGCCCTCCAGCTCTCATAGCTTTTTCTTTGCTTATCCCTTTCTCTATTAAACACACTTTGCATACGCCTTATTCGTTCCTACAAGAAGCAACCTAGACTCAAGACACACTGCCTAGCATTAACAAACCTATTGAACATCTAAACAAGCAAACAACACATTTTCTTTGGGACTTACTATAGTCAACTAATATATAAACAACACATTTTCTCATAGCAGTGAAATTTGTTTCCATCACAAAGTACAGTGACTCAGGTTTGCCCATCTGAGGATCACATCACATCTTCCATCTTAATATTTTTAAAAGGAAATCCAAATGTATATTTTCTACTTTCTAAAAAATAATAACAAAACAAGCATTAAAGTAAATGATACTAAAAAGAGGAGTGCTAACAATATACTCTCTAATATTAGTTAAAATTTACTGAAAACTAGAAAATCATAAGACTTAATAACTAAGATGTGAGACTTACAAAAATTCGCGATTTCCAATAAATTTCAGCTAATAATAAAGAATATGTTCAAAATAGTGTGTTGCAAGCATTTCTATGTTAAAAACTCACCACTCTCTCCATCTCCTCCTCATATTCTTCTTGCAGTCGCTTATTGTACCTCTTCCACGCTTCTTCTTGAAATGTAGATCGGAAAGAACTGCTATTCCCTCCTTTCAACTGCGACCTGGACAGCTACAATCAGTTAAACAATAGCATGCACCGTCAGTTTCACTGTGATTCCCGTGCATTGTAGTTCAAACATAAATTCAAAAAAAGGAGGAAAACACTTTTCATAGAAAGAAAAACCCTGACATAAGAGGAACAGCATATGTACATACAATATCAAGATTACTAAAAAAAAAATAAACCACCGAAAATGAAAGCGATTCTGGTGAACCACTCATTCAATCACTTCTTCACAGTTCACACGATCCCGAAAACAACCACGACAAAAACATGTCTGAAAACGGTAATTACTGAATTAAAAAAAAATGATAATACGAAGCTACAACTGAGAATGAAATTCATCATGCAAACCCTAAGAATAAGATTATCCCGAGGGAAATAAAAACAAAAATAAAATCAGAAAAAACTTAGACGCCGTTGCTTACATAATTCAGATGCTGTTCTTCTGTCAGAATTAAAGTTTCACCACGTTAATACGAATAATAAAAGTTTGCGTTAAATATCAACATGTATTAAACATGAATAATAATAAAGGCTTGCGTTAAATATCATCATCTATTATCCAAACGAAACTCTAATTCCGAAGAGAACAGCAAGTCAAAAGCACTAGGAAACTGCATCTAAGTTTTTTCTTTCTTCCTATAAATAAAATTAAAAACTACGAACAGAATTGCATACGATTTGAACAACAAATTGAAAAGCAAAAGCAAAACGAAGGCGGAGAACTCACGGAGAAGGCGGTGACGGCGGCGCCGACTAATCCGAAGAGGAAAACTCCCCAAAGCTTGATATCTTCCGCTTTGTTTTCGCTCCGATCGCCTTCGTCTTTGTTCATTTCTAAACCAAAAACTCAATATCGCATTCAATTCAACGATTCACCTCACCGATTATTCCACAATCCAAACACATCTCTCTTAATTTCTCACAGTTCCAAACTCCGAAACCCTTTTCTTCTCGCTCAACAGCGATTGCCATATATTTCTTCTCCCTCCTCTCCTCTGCTCCAGGTTCTGTTCATCCAATTCACGAGAATCGGTTCGCTCCGGTTTGATTATTATTATATATACATTAATCCGAATCAGCACTCCACACATGACGTGGCACCGTATCAACCGCTTTAACTTTTCCCCGTATTGGGCCACAAATGACCCAACAGACAGCCCATATTTAATAAGACCTGGCCCATTTTCAATCACCATTCGTCACCGTTGGATTCCACCAACCGACACTCCAACAAAAAAACCACACTCTGTACCTTTTTTTTTTTTTTTTTTTTTTTCTTTTTTTTTTGCCCGGGAAAACAAAAAAAAAAAACACCCCAACCTCTTTTTTTTTTTTTTCTTTTTTTTTTGCCCGGGAAAACAAAAAAAAAAAACACCCCAACCTCTTTTTTTTTTTTTTCTTTTTTTTTTGCCCGGGAAAACAAAAAAAAAAAACACCCCAACCTCTTTTTTTTTTTTTTCTTTTTTTTTTGCCCGGGAAAACAAAAAAAAAAAACACCCCAACCTCTTTTTTTTTTTTTTCTTTTTTTTTTGCCCGGGAAAACAAAAAAAAAAAACACCCCAACCTCTTTTTTTTTTTTTTTTTTTTTTTTGGCACGGGAACAGAATCAATAAACCATCACCATACTCTGTTTTTCTGTTTCTCTCTCTTCTCTGTAGTTCAAATCTAGCCGCTGAAAGCGTTTGCGCAATGCAAGTTCTATAGGATTGTTTGGTTCGTTCTTTTTTTTTTTTTTCGTAACGTGTTTTCAGTCCTTTGATGTAGCTTTCGCCGTGTTTCCTTATTGGCATTATGGAGATTCGGTTTTCGTTCATTCGCGTTTTTGTTTGTGCATTGCAGATTAGTGTTACTGTAGCAGCGTCTTCGTGTTGTGAGAAGAATCGAGAGAAAAAAAAAAGTGATGTCGAGGAGACCGGGAATTCCTACTAGAAGGTTCGGTGACAGTAGCGGTGGATTGTTCTCTTCTTCCAAATCTAGGTCCTCGCCTTTGACAATTGGCCTCGTAGTTGTGGTGGGAGTTTTGTTTATTTATTATTCGATTTCAGTTATTCAATGCGGTTTGTTCAGTTTGGGGAAATTTTTCTGATTGATTTGGTTTTGGCAACTTTATAGGGAGGTTTGTTTCTCGTTGGCTATTTGTATAGGGGCTCAGGTTTGTGATATTGTTTCCATTTTGTTACTGATATGTGCTTTTGCCTCGTTTTGTTATCTAATTAATTTCATTTAATGTTGCCTTTTTTTGTTTGTATATAGGTGGATTTAGCAGCCGTTTAGAGTCTGTTAGCAGGGTTGAAGGTAATTTTGATTTTTTTTTTTCTCTCTTTGGATTGTGATAAATTATTACATGTTTAAGACTACAATGTTAAAGAATCAGTGTCTTGTGCAATCAATATAGCAGGTCATTAGAACAGCATACCCAACACCTCTATCATTTGGGACTCACTCCCAGGAGTCCTTCACTTGATTGATTTAGTTTTCTTTCCCTCCGGGGGAGCTACCTAGAAGTCAATCTACGCTCTTTCCCCTGATCCGAGACTCCGAGAGGAAGGAGCTACCCTTCTGTTGGAATATAGTAAGTGGTTGCAGTAACCATTTGCAGGCATCGTGCACGTGGCAAACGAACAATTTTCGTGTGACAAACCTGAGTTTTATTAACTCTTTTCTCCTAAATTGAAAATTTTGACTGTGTCATGTGAAAATTGGCTGGGACCTTGTACACGTAGTGGTTCCAGACTGTCATAATTTCTCATGATTGTGATTTGTTTCACACTTTCACCATCAATTTCTTCATGCATTTAAAAATATGGTTCTAAATTGTGGACTGCAACATCTCTTGTGACCACAATATTGCTGTTGTGGAGCTTCACCTGACTGCAACAGTCTGCAATTGTGATGTGAAGTTCACCTGAGTTTTATTAACTCTTTTCTCCTAAATTGAAAATTTTGACTGTGTCATGTGGAAATTGGCTGGGACCTTGTACACGTAGTGGTTCCAGACTGTCATAATTTCTCATGATTGTGATTTGTTTCACACTTTCACCATCAATTTCTTCATGCATTTAAAAATATGGTTCTAAATTGTGGACTGCAACATCTCTTGTGACCACAATATTGCTGTTGTGGAGCTTCACCTGACTGCAACAGTCTGCAATTGTGATGTGAAGTTCACCTGAGTTTTATTAACTCTTTTCTCCTAAATTGAAAATTTTGACTGTGTCATGTGGAAATTGGCTGGGACCTTGTACACGTAGTGGTTCCAGACTGTCATAATTTCTCATGATTGTGATTTGTTTCACACTTTCACCATCAATTTCTTCATGCATTTAAAAATATGGTTCTAAATTGTGGACTGCAACATCTCTTGTGACCACAATATTGCTGTTGTGGAGCTTCACCTGACTGCAACAGTCCGCAATTGTGATGTGAAGTTCAATCACAAGAAATACTGCAATGGAGCTGGAACACCCTTCTATTCCAATTTTTTTTTTTTTTTTTCAAAATAAACAAAGCTTCAAACTTCAATCTTTTATTCTAATGGGAGTGGTCACGTGGGATGTTGAGGGAGGGAAGCCATTAGTGGTTGTTGGTTGGAGTGCTGGGAGGCTGTGTGATGCATTCTAGGCAAGGGGAAAGGAAGTGTGGAGTGAAAAATTGTAAAAGAAAAGTTCAATTCATTTTTATTACTATAGAATTCGTTTCCATGTTCAGTGCAAATATATAATAATTTTACGTCATGACACCCACAATCCGTATCGTAATAGTTGCAATTGCAACTGCAATTTAGACCCACTTTATGGTGGTCTTTTAGCTGGTATACAATAAGTGTGTCTAGCTTGTATGCACATTATTGATGTTGTTAATTTTCCTAGTTGATGATTATGTGAGTTTAGTTCCTATAAGTTGAGAAAATGAGAAGTTCTTTGACACCCTTGATGAATTTCAATTAAGTTGAAGTCTTAGACAACAATACAAGATTGTAGGTATGTGGACATGGTGGAGCTTTGTCAGTGTCAAATGACTGTTTTCTCATTTGATGTCTGCTCTTGAATGATGGCTTGCTGTTTGCGATGCAATTTTTTAGTGGTTTTTTTGCATTCTTTTGTATGTGATCAAGACTCTATGAACACTTTCTCCACTTTGGATTGGAGGTGTTTGTGGTTTATGGAACTTGAATCATAAAATCTTTAAGATGTTAAGTCTCCTGATGCTTATCTCTTATAAGCACCATTCATTTTTGACTTACTGCTGTCTGTGAAAAAAGAAAGAGAAAAAAAACAAGAAAGAGAAAAAGAAAACTTGCTTAATACCCTTAATGCTTCTAGCAGATGAAAGGTTTCGGTTGTTTCTCTTTATTGACATATAAGTAAGCTTTTAGTCATGACTCTTAAGGTTGAAAATTCAATTTGTTCCTCCTTTCTTGTGGTGGTGGGCAGCTGTTCTGGTTCAATGGTCTATAATTCTTTGTGATGATGTAAATTTTGTAGATCAGGGTCCATTTATGTACATGGTGTTTGTGTATTTTATTTTGCCCATCATGATGAATTTGTTGAATTATGTCAAAATGATTTCTATCATCAATTAATAAATTGAGTATTCAACAAATTTCCTTATTAGTCATTTTCTTGGAAATGTAATTTTTTGGTAATTAAATGTTCAAATGTAAGAATGAATGCATTATGCACATTTATTGTCCTTTTTGTATTTAGCAAGTTTTCTATTGTGGAGCTATACATTTGTTGAATTGAGTCTTGAAAAGTGGCAACTTACCTTGTATTATAAATTTCATATTTCTTTATCGAAATGCATTTTCTACTATCATTTTTGTAGTTATTTTTCAATGATAAACAATATGCTTTAAAGTGCACCACTGAAATTAAAAAATTGTTCATTTTGCTATTAGTGCCTTTTTATTCTAGTTATATGTTTTTATATCTTCTTGTTCAGGATAGTGATATTATTGTTACTTGTCAATTGACACCCTTTTAATTGTATTGCAACTATGACACTTCTAGTTGGGTTCAGACTGGCTGTGCACGATAATTTATGATGACCATCTTCTTACACATAATGTAAACAGTCCAAATATGTATAAAGGATTCAAATATTGTCTCAGTTGCTGTCACTTTCTGCTAAATGTAAAATGAACGTGCTAAATGTTTGTTCTACCATGTAGTAAACAGGGTTGTTTTAATGGTTTTCATCTTATCTTTGTGGCTTCTCTATTTCTTTGTAATGACGTAAAATGAAATTTGCATATGATAAAAGTGTAACGCCCCGCCGTGGCCGTCACACTACGAAACAATACTACACATTACTGGAATATATATACTAAAATAGTATAATAAAATATTTACAACACAAGTTGCTAATCAAGCAACTAACAACAATCAATTATATACAACAAAGTATGCTACTATAAGGTAGCCTACAAAAAAAATCCATCTCCAGGCATCTCCTGTGGCCTCTAGCAGCTATCTCCCAGCCTATCCTTGCCTTGCTCCTCATACAACGTATGATCATCGCAGTCCAAACCACATGGAAATATGCAAGGGTAAGTTAGAGACAATAAACAACTCATAAATATCAAATATGAAATACAACTATATAATTATCTTCACATTCGACACAAAAGATAAACAACACATATATTATACATCTTAACATCATTTCAACTTGATTCCACATATCAACGCTGTATCAACACCTCAACGCAATTTACAACATAGATACAACTCTTATCAACAACAAATAAACTCATCAACAACTTATGCGTCATCACGCATTTCAGCTCGGAGATCTCCAACAACTGAGGTTGAGCAGTCTAGGTGGCATAAACCCTACCGAATTCCGCGTTTGACCTATCTCAACCAGGTCAGGTATAGAACAGCGTAAGAAACTCCGAAGAGAACCAGGTATAGACAACAATAGGCGATTGCTCAGGTGTCGCTTAGACTCGGAGGTCCAGTACTACTGTCAGGACAGAAGGGTTTGGGTATGAGCCTACCACGGCCCTGGCTAGCATCACCAATCCACATATGGAGTTAGTCCACCCACTGTTCTCTAAGTATCACGCACCCTCCAGTACCTAGTTAAAGACTATATCTCTAACTAGATACCTTACTCAAATTGGTCATTCAACCATGACATGGATCGACTACTTCCATGTCGCTCACACAGTACTAAGTGATTCAACTTTAAAACAACTTTCAACTTATTTCCTTAATACTATGTATCTCAACATAGGACATATATCTTCACCATATGTCCCCAACTTTTCAACTTTACAATAATAGACACCATAACAACTTTACAACAATAAACATTTGGCCGCTTGTAATCGGTATAGCTCGGCCTGACCCCTATACCGTGGTCGCTTTGTACACGTGTGACTCGACCTTGCCCACACACGGGATCAACTAAGTCCTAAAGGAGAACAATACAACGTCCACTTCAAGGGACAACTTCCCAAGGAGGGTTTTTCAACAAATTGGGCTCTCAGAGCACCACAATTATCTCAATCCACACAATGGGATGAGCAACTTCGAAAATATCTCCCCTAGTCCTAGTAATCAACAACTCATCATCACAACTTAATCAACTTAACAACTTAAACAACATACAATTTTTCAACTCATCATCTCAATCAACATTCAACTTGAACAACATAGTTTATCAGCACAATAACTCATTAACATTGTTTAACAACACATTTTAACAACACAACATCTCATTTCAACTTTAAACAACACAATCATCATAAAATAATATCTTTTCAACACATGACACAACATACAATTTTATAGCAACATACAACTCTTCTCTAACAACTTAACAACATAGTCTACTAATAACATTTATATAAATCACACACATCTACACACTTCACATCATGCTTCTCACAACTCACAATATTATCATCATGCACTTCACAACTTTTAACTATATCATCTCATCATGTTTCACAACATAAACATGTTCACACATAACATATAGCAACTTTATCAACTTAATTTCAACATGCTTCAACAATATCATAGATCAACACACAACTTGTAAACAACTTCACTATACTCAACTTGCATCTCTTCATTTCACTTTCTACACATCATACATCTCAATATAATTATACAACTTCATATGAGTTCCTAAACTCACATACAACCAAACAACATACAATCTAGCTTCCCTTACCTGAAAATTGGCTCAGAATAACCAAGAACTGAGAAGAAGTGGAATTTCCTTTCCGAAGCTCAACCCAGGACTTCACTCCACCCAAAGCAAGCTTCTTAGTCTAGAGTCCTTCTCTCTAAAACTTTTCTCTAAAAACCTCTCCTTCTCCTCAACTACAGAACTTCTATTTATAGAAATCTGAACTGGCCAGAACGGCCCGTTCCAAATTCGGAACGACCCGTTCTAGGCTCTTTCATCACGTGTAAAATTCACATGCAGAACGGCCCGTTCTGAAATCGGAATGGCCCATTCTGGCACGTCTAGAACGGCCCGTTCTAAAATCGGAATGGCCCGTTCTGGAGTTGAATTTAACTCACAATGACCACTTTAGAACGACCCATTCCAGTCCAAGATTCATAGGCCTATTTAGTAATTTGGAACGGCCTGTTCCAGTTTGGGAATGGCCCGTTCTAGGCTACTAAATCACCCTTGTTTTAGTAGTTTGGAACGGTCCGTTCCAATCTGGGAACGCCCCGTTCCAGTCTACTAACTACGTTACAATACCCCCAACAAATAGAAATTTTCGTCCCCGAAAATAGACTTACTTGGAAATGAAGAAGGATACTACTCTCTACACATTTGTTCAATCTCCCAAGTAGTCTTATCAGTAGTTGCATCCCACAAGATCTTCACCAATCCAGTGGACTTGCCCCTCAACTCCTTCAACTTGTAATCAATCATAGTTACCGGTCTCTTCTTATAAGTCAGGTTTTCCTTGACCTGAATCTCACCCATCTCAACTACATGACTCGGGTCATGAACATACTTCCTCAACTGTGAAACGTGAAACACATGTTCCCCCTCAGCAGACTCCAAAGGCTTTCGCCTTTTATCAACATGTGACTTTTGTCTACTCTGGGTAGTTTTCATACTCTCTTGAATCAACTTTACTTTCTCAGTAGTCTGTAGGACTAGCTCCGGTCCCACAACCATTGATTCACTATCTTGGTACCAACACAGAGGAGTCTTACACCTCTTACCATATAGGGCTTCAAACGGTGCCATCCCGATATTAGCATGAAAGCTATTGTTATAAATGAACTCTACTAGTAGTAAGACGTCCTCCCAACTCCCCAAGTAGTCTAGCACACAATGCCTCAACAAATCCTCCAAGGACGGAATTGTCCTCTCTGACTGACCATCCGTCTGTGGATGATAAGCAGAACTCAACCTCAACCTCGTGCCTAAGGCTTGGTGTAGACTCTGCCAAAAATCTAGAAATGAACCTCGGATCCCTATCTAAAATAATACTGGTAGGCACCCCGTGTAATAGTACTATTTCCTTAACATACAATTGTGTCAACTTCTCCAAGGATCACTTGATATTGACAGACAAGAAATGTGCACACTTGGTCAATCTGTCAACCACAACTCAAATAGCATCACTATTCCTAGTCGACTTAGGAAATCCATCAATGAATCCATAGTGATACTATCCAACTTCCACTATAGGATCTCCATCATCTACAATTAAACCACCAGACTTCTGGTGCCCAACCTTAGCCTTCTGACAGGTTAGACAGGCTGCCATATATTCAACAATGTCTCTCTATACTTAGAATCTTGAGGTAGGCAAATTCTACCCTTAAACCTCAAATCCCATCTTCACCCATTTCAAAGTCAATTGCTTTCTCTGTATCCAACAAATTAAGAACCTTCACAACTTCCGAATATTACAACTACTTCATACCAACTTGCTACAAGAACTCACTAGCAATGGTAATCATGCCACAGTTAATGTGGTCTTGAGCCAACTCTACATACAGATTCAAATCTCTGAATTTCTCAACCAGCTCCAACTCCTTCACCATCAAACTAGACATGTGGATGGACTTCCTACTCAAAGCGTCTGCCACTACATTGGCCTTCCTAGGGTGATACATAAACTGAAATTCATAGTCTTTTAAAATATTTCATCCACTGTCTTTATCTCATGTTCAACTCCTTCTAATCAAGCAAGTACTTCAGACTCTTGTAATCACCAATGACATTAAATCTTGCACTATGAAAATAGTGCATCCATACCTTTAAGGAAAAAACAACTATTGCCAACTCTAAGTCATGAGTAGGGTAATTCCTCTCATGATTCTTCAATTGCCTTAAAGCATATGTAACTGATAGCATATGCAACTACTCTCCTATTCTACATCAACACACCCCAACCCTAGGTGAGAAACATCACGACACACCTCAAATGGCTCATTAGGATTAGGCAATACCAACATAGGAAAAGTAGTCAATCTTTCTCTTCAACTCTTCCACCTGATACTTCAATTCAACCAACTCTGTTGGGGCTATCCTATAGGGAGAAACCAACACTAGCCCTACACCAGGGACCAGATCAATGCTAAACTCAATCTCCCTAGTAGGAGATAACCCAGACACCTCATCTAAAAACACCTTCAGAAATTCCCTCACAACTCCTACCTATTGATCACCTTCTTAGTTTTCACTCTCACAGCAGCAAATAGAATACAACACTCTGCTCCATCTCTCAACATCACTTCAGCTTGGCTGGCTGAAATCAACAATTTATCCTCCCCCTAAGGGAAAAACCAACTCCATATTGGCACAATCTATAAGAATGTGATTGGCAGATAACCAATCTATCCCTAAGATTATGTCAATATCCACTAAAGGCAAATAGATCAAGTTCACCTTATACTTCCTATCACACATCTCCAAGGGACAACCAACACATATCTTAGAGGCAACAATGGAAACAGAAGCGTGTGCAGACACAAGCAATCTCAACTCCAAATTACGTACAGGCAAACCCAACTTTTCAGCACATGCATGTAAAATAAATGAATGGGAGGCCCTGAGTCAAATAATATCATCACATCTTTACTAGTAGCTTTACCCTTCCCCTTCCCCTTCACTAGATCAGATGAAGTGGAAGCTTCGACTCCGGTCAAGGCAAACACCCTCTCAGTTACAGTAGATCTATCACCCCTCGGGGCACTCCTGGTCTATCTGGCACCTACAGGACAACTAGTCGACATGTGACTCATTTGGCCACACCTAAAGCATTTGCTCTTTGTATGAGGGCAATCACGAATGAAGTGAGGTCCACCACATCTGTAATATCTGAGTAGCAGCTCCACTCTAACCCCCACTCCTAGCTATGTCAATAGGTTTTCTTGTGACAGGACCCCCTTGTTGTGATTGGAGCCTATTATAAGGCTTCCTCTGAGAACCACCACCACTCTTGGACTCAGCTAGCCCACCAACAGTCTTTGCCAGCTTGTCGACGCTCTCTAGCCGCTCTACAACCTTCGCCTTCTTTACCAAGGATGGAAATTCCGTGATGGCCATAGGCACCACCACTCTCCTCAAATCATACTTCAAGCCTTCAACAAACTTCCTATACTTCCAAGCCACTTGGGTGTAGAAAGTGTGCCAAGTGCTCAAATCTCATGGCGTACTCGGTCACCGACATTCCCCCTTGCTATAATTTCCTAAACTCTACCTCCGAGCATGCCTAACACTCTCTGGGAAGTACTTCTCAAGGAAGGCCCTCTTGAAGCACACCCAGTCCACAACCACTGCACGGTCAATCAGCATCTGACTAGTGTCGCACGACCAGTTGGGTCACAGGAGTGTCGGGTTTTGGCTGAGTTCAGGAAGTGTAGTCCTCCTTAGTTCAGAGGTGATGCAGATCCGGAGGTGGATGACCACTGGATTAGCGAGTTGGAGAAGATATTTTCAGTTCTAGGTTGTTCAGAGGAGCGAAAGCACTCGAATCTCATGGCGTACTTGGTCATTGACATCTCATCCTGCTGTAATCTCATAAACTTTGCCTCCCAAGCATGCCTGACACTTTCTGGGTAGTACTTCTCGAGGAAAGCCCTCTTGAAGCACACCCAGTCCATAACCACTCCACGGTCAATCAACATCTGACTAGAAATAGAAATTATTTAAAAAAAAAGAGTTTTGTAACACACATTTCAATATTGGTTGAAATTTATTGAAAAAGTTACAAAATTAGGAGAGAGAATCATTAAATAAGTAGGGCCACAAAATATCTGTAATTTCTTATAAATTTCAACCAATAGAGTGTGTTTTTAAAAATATGTTTCTAACATTTTTTTTTCAAAAATGAAAGGAATTCAATTGAAGTTATTAAATTCTCATGTATTTTAAAATTAAATTTCTTGAAATTTTGAAAGCCCTTATCCAAATACTATCTTAACTTTCAATTTAATTGACTTCCAGATATGTGATACTATACATTACTTCCAAATGCAGGTGATTATTTGTGCAGTGGAGAGGTCCAACAAGCTATTCCGATTTTACAGAAAGCATATGGAGATAGCATGCATAAAGTTTTGCATGTTGGTCCTGATACTTGCTATGTGGTCTCTAAATTGCAAAAGGAGGAGGAAACTGAAGCCTGGGGAATAGAGCCATATGATATAGAGGATGCTGATAATAATTGCAAAGCACTTATCCGTAAAGGCAGTGTGCGTGTGGCTGATATCAAGTTCCCTCTTCCATACAGGCCAAAATCTTTCTCTCTTGTAATTGTTTCAGACGCTCTGGATTACCTTTCTCCCAGATACCTCAACAAAACTCTTCCGGATTTGGTGAGGGTATCAGCTGATGGTGTAGTGATATTTACTGGTAAGAGCATTTCATATAATCTTGAAATTAATGCAAATTCCATCTATGAATAAAAGTTTTTCTGTCCAAAGAAAATCCTTTAATCTGAAGCTTTCGTTAAATTATTTAGCTTTATTACAGTTACAACCCAAAATAGGGAATTGAAGGTAGTGTGTGTGTGTGTAATGCTTACTTCCGTTTTTTATATAACTAAATATTAAATGATGTCAAATTGATTCGTGCAACTGTTCCCACGTAGCTGTTATTGAGTCCAAAAGTTTGGATTTTATTGTTGAGCAATGGAGCATCTAGAATGGCATTAGTTTTTAGAGCAGAAATGTTGTTTGTAGTATGTTCGAGCTTATGTGAACACTTGAAATGCCTCTTATTTGACTGTTATGATATACTTTATCTAGCGGTAATTTTGATGAGTTATTGGGGGAGCTTGAGCTTTAAATATACTGCTTGTGCTGGTAGTTTGAAAGACTATCTTAGCAATAGTGAATAATCTTTTCGGTCTGTCACTGACATCTGATAATATCTGTAATGAAGGTTTTCCAAGCACCCAAAAAGCCAAGGTAGCGGATGTTTCTAAATTTGGAAGAGCGATACAGGCTGCCATATATTCA